GGGAGGACAACAATCTGCAGCGGACAACGACCGGCGGTGGCGGGAGTCAGCTAGTAGTGACCGGAGCCCGCCACGACGGTGGGCAGGTGGCAACAACAGTTGGCGGGGGCTGACGGTTGGCGACGACGACCGAGGAACTAGGTGAAGAATTGTCTTGGTGTTTTAAAAACAGACAAAAATATGTTTTATCTATATTTAATATTTTAAAAATAGAAGCGCTCTCCCAAAAAATGAAAAACTGAAATAAAACAATAAAATAAATAGGCAAACATTGCTTTTATGCTTGTTTCCTACTTTTTTTTCAAAAATAATAAACAGAAAACAAAAATTGATCCCAAATAGCCGCTTAATTGATAAAGAGTTTTTTGGCGCCTACTCTCAAATCTTTGTTTTTTTTTTGCAAATACATTTATAGGGGACTCTAAAACTATTGCCATATTGGCATTTTCTAGGCAAGCCCCTAAAAAACATTAGAGATTTAAACAAACCAAAAAAAAAAAGCTTCTAACAGTCGTAGAGATTTGTCTAAAAGAGTTGATGTGATAGGCATCAAAGCATCGCTACCAATATTATCCATAGAAAATTCCCCTATATAGGAATTTTGCCCTTTATGTTCCTCCGTCTTTTCCTTATAACAATACTAGTCATAATTACCATTATAGAACTCTTTTGATTGCTAAGATTTTTATATTCTAAAGCAAGAATATCATGCATGCGGTCAAAAATTAAGGTACCGATATACAGAAATGCTTATTTTTAGAGCCTGCAATTTTCTTATATATTACCAATGAAATTTCATTAAAAGTAGTTATATATGGGAGCAATAGAAAAATAGCTTCACTATTAATGAGTCTAGAGTGCAACAATTTGTTAAGTTTGCCTTGCACCATTTAACCATATTTTCTTTGTTCTGCATCTCGGCCATTCCTTTTTATAGAATTCCATTGAGATTTGTATGTTTGGCTTATCTTTATCCTCTTACTTTTAAGACATACTTATCAATCATATGCTCCATTGTAGTTCCTTTTGCTATCACATCATGATCTGGAATTTTATCCTTGGGAAAATAATTTTTTATTTCAGGACTTCCTGAGAACCCTCCAGCAGAAACACAGTTAAATTCAGATGTTTAAGGCAGCCAATCTTTTTCTAACGGATCATTTCACTCTGTGTAGTTTTAGGACTTAAATCCATCTTCATCTGGATCTTCTCTCAGATTAATGGACAGCATTACATTATTCTTTAATTTTATGTATTGATCTTTCTCTAATTTATCCTTCAGCTATTGTGATGAAATTACTAGTTGCACACTAAACAATCTTAGGTTCTGAAATAAAATTGCCAAAACTTGTCTCAGATTTCATAAAATGTTGCGCAGTTCTTCAGTATATGTGGAACATACAATTTCCGTTGTTTAGGGAGATGAATTTTCATAAAAGAGAATTTAAATGAACTTTAACCCAGAATATATTATCAATATATTTTTTGTCTGTAAATCCGGTTAGCATTTGAAGGTACAATGATATGAAAGATACATATGTAGATCCTTCTATTGGGTTAGAAAAAGATTGTATGTATTGGGTGATGTGAAAGTGTTATTAGAAAATTACATACATGCCAATTCCTTCTATTGGGTGATATGAAAGATACAAATGATATGTAATTCCTTCTATTGGGTTACTCAAAATTTTGAATTATGAGTAAGAAATCCGGTTAGCATTACATTATTCTTTATATTGATATATCTAATATCAATATATTTTTTGTCTGTAAATCCGGTTAGCATTTGAAAATTTTGTATCATCTGATGTAATTCCTTCTATTGGGTTAGAAAAAGATTGGCATGTTAGATTTGAAAGGTACAATGATACATACATATTTTCTTTGTTAGATTTGAAGGTACAATGATATGAAATCCGGTTAGCATTTGAAGGAATTACATACATGCCACTAGTTCTTATGTAGATACATATCTAACTCCTAAACTACAATTTTTAAAAGTTAATAGTGGTATTTTTTAGGTGATGTGAAAGTGTTAGATGTGTAAATGCATAGGAATTGGGTGGTATGTATGTAAATGCCCATTTTCTATTGAAAACTTTCTATTGGGTGGTATGATGTAAATTCATATGTTGGATTTGTGTTCATCAGTTTTGATCTATTTTATTCATCTATTTTGCAGATAGTTGATCACACAACACATGACTTCCTTAAGAACGATGATGTAGTCTTTTTAGTCGAAGAAGATTAGTAAGTAGTCTTTCAAATTTGAACTTGCAATAAAGTACTGGAGCTCTCTTCCATCTCATTGTTTGCGTTTTTGTTACTACTCTTCTACCTGGGATTACTACTTGAAGTGTTCATAAAAGAAAATTATACTTAATACCTTGCCTATTCTGTGTGTGTTTGCTTTGAACGAGATTCAGAAAATGTTAAAAAAACAAAGAAGAAATGGAAGATTTACATTTCTACCATTCAATCCCTAATGTATCTAATATTTATACTTCAATTTTTACATATATAAAACCTTTCCTATGCAGAAAATGGTGTATTTTACTTTTTAAAAGTTAAGCAAAAGGGTATTTTTGAGTGATGTGAAAGATTTGGGTGGCATAAATGTAATAAATCAAAGTTTAGGTGATAGAGATGTAAATACATAGGAATTGGGTGGTATTTATGTAAATGCCCCAAAAGAAATTTATTGTTGTCTGTTTATGATGCAATTAAGAATAATTTTAAAAATAAGAGCTTTTAACTTTTTTATCTAAAAAAAAAAAAAAGAACTTGTGGACAAATTTTTACTGATGGCAAAGTTCTTACTCATAATTCAAAAACAAGTCGTTATCTAATCGGTTAAAAAATCGAAATAAAAGCCTCAATTCCTTGAAAAATCACTTGCTATCATAGGTGTCATTACATTTGTACGTTCTGAAGAGAGTGATGATTTGAGCTTAAAGACTACAAATATACTTAAATTATTTATAGCCATATCCACCATATATGTTTTAATTTAGGACATTCACATACATACCACCCAATTCTTTTGCATTTACATACCTTGCACGTAAACTTTGTCTTTTTAACATTTATACCACTAAAATCTTTCATATCACATCTAAAATATCACTATTATAATTTAAAAAATAAAATACACATTTTCATACGAATGTAAGGCCGCATATATGTAAAAATTGAAGTTTAGATGTTAAGAGTTGTAAATATGTAAGAATTGAGTGGCATGTATGTAAATCTTTCTTTAATTTTTTTTTTCTTTTATTTGTGACCATATTTCTTTCTAACATGTATTGCTGCCATAATTAACATGTGTTTGTGTTTTTTCCTTCTAATTAGTCTGTCCTTGTGCTTCATGTTGGATACTTCATATTTTGGGGTTTTTACGTATATAGCACCTAAAACTTTCATATTTACGTATCTCACACCACAATATTTTCATAATAACAAACATCATATGAAAAGTAATACTCATTATTACCTTTCAATAGTCAAATCAATCTTTTCATCCATAGATAAAGTGTTATGTGTGTACGAATGAAACTGTGGGTGTGAGATAGGTAAACCCATAAGAATTGGGTGCTTTGTGTGTAATTTTCCCTTTAATTTATTAAGTTTCCATGCACAACAGCTGGTTATCTATGTTATGAAAACCCGCTCTTTCTTGGGATATGGAATAAACACCAAACATAAAAATGAAGAATTTTATCCTCTATTCTTGTCAAGATCTTGAGCATGTTGTGTAAAATATAATCTTAATTTATTAGAATTAAGTGAAAATATGACACTCAATAAGACACAATGGAGAAAAAGGATTCATGCACCCGACCCCACTTAGTGGGATAAAGGTTTGTTGTTATTGTTGTATTCTTGTCAACATCTTGAAGTTAAAAGTGCAATTTGGAGATTGTTTAAGAGGGATATGATCATATGAGGAACTTATTTCTCTAGCCTTTTAAGAATGATTTATGTACAAATAAAGCATCATACAATATTCCCTACATAAAATATTAACACCATGTATTGGAAAACAGTATATTACCACATATCAAAGAACATAACTTTTAATAGCATACAGTACCTTATTCTGAAGAGAAGCTGAAACCCATAAGAAGCCTTACAGACTTATATTGGGTTCCCTTGCGATCACAAAGTGGCACGCAATGAATTCCTTGCCTTAATTCTAACACTGGTAGGCATGTCTGCCCTCCGAAATCGTCCTTATCGGACATGTCATACTCGTGTATCTCGACTCGAAGCAAAGCCAACTCAGGGACGATCAATGGAAAGATGAACTCTTCATTCCAAACGGGAGCCCATTCGTCTTCTATAATCCTTGTTTTCTTCATTATGCAGTCCGCTGGTACTCCAGCTATACCTACCTATAGGCTGATGTTAAGTGAAACAATAGCACAAGCTTTCTTCAACTCAAATGAAGCAGGGATAACTGTAATTCTCAATTAATAATCACAGTAAGTGTCAAAATAACCATCTGATTAATTATAAAAGTGTTAAATTAATCCTTGGACTATTTTAATATACGCTGAAATAGTTCCCAAAGAGGACTATTTAGCCCCTGTTATAAAAATATGGAGACTAAATTGATACTTTAAAAACTTTGAGACTAAAATGTCCCTTAACAAAAAATCTGGCGACGTTGACACCTTTCTCTAATTAAGATATACTACATCCATTAGAATCCAATTTCTAGATGTACATAAATTGCAATTTCCAATGTACCATGTTGAAAACACAATCTTTGACGGGTTTATATTTGGCATCACCGCAAATCTTTTGGCTCGGTCGGAATTATGGCTGATTCTCTCAATGAATCACCCTCATAAAGTGTTCTTGACTCTACCGGAGGATCGACTCCAAACCCCGCTCCGGAAGCCAACATAATTTTTTTTAATCACAACTCATAAGTTGAACGACAGCAACTTCTTCCAATGGTCACCTCACAGGTATGATGTGTGAGCCTCCAAAGACCGAACCGACATATGGAGCTTGGGGGATGGAGAATTTTATGGTTATGTCATGATTTATCAACTCCATAAAAATCTTAATTGGTCATTCGTACATGTTTCTCCTTTCAGCTAGTGCTCTCTGGACAATTTTCCGTGATATCTACTCGGATGTAGGAAATTCTGACCAATTGTACGAGCTATTTAAAAAGATATGGGAGGCAAAATAGGGGACAAAGACCATGCCCAGTACTATAATGACCTTATTGCAGTATGGATGAAATGTGACCTGTACTACGACTACATTTAGGATCTTCGGCCGACTTATCCTTCTTCCAGAAAATTATAGAAAATGATCGTAGGTTCCAATTCCTTGTTGGCCTTAACAAAGAACTTGACGGGGTTTGGTGTCGTATTCTTGGTTGCAATCCTCTTCCTTTCACTCGCGCTGCTTTCACCGAAATTCTTTGGGAAGAAAGCAAGAGTTTTGTCACGTTTGACGCTTCTACTCCTTCAGCCGAATCATTCGCCTTGATCTCAAATAGTGCTCAACAGTTGTCCATGACACTTCAAACTGTCAAATCACTTGTGATTACTATCACAATTCAAACCCCACTCAAGACAAGTGTTGGAAACTTCACGGTAAGCTTAGATACAAACCCTTAACCAAATCCTCTAATTCCAAAGGACTTACGACGACAGCCAAACCAAGCACGACTCAACCGACTCCTACCCGGAACATCCTAGAGTACTCTGAATCCCTAAAAAAACAGATGGAGCAACTGATCAAACTTATTGGAGTCAATCAAGTCTTTGCAGGTCCATCAACCTCGACAAGGTACTCTTTCTATGGCTCTCATAACTTATTCAGCATCTAGTTTATGGATTATTGATTCAGGTGTCACGGATCACATGACTGGTTGCTCGCAAGTTTTTTCGACTTACTACCCGTACTCTGGAAAAAATACCATCAAAATTGTCGATGGAACCTGTAGCTCCATTGCTGGTAAATGGTCGATTGTACTAACGACCGATCTAACTCTGGAGTCTGTTTTATATTTTCCCAATTGCAATTTAACTTATTACTAATCAACAAATTGACAAGTGATAGCGATTGCATTACTAATTTCTCTTCTAATGATTGTATTTTTCATGATCATCGTTTGGGGGATGATTGGAACTGTTAAGAGGGTATCTCGACTTTACTGCTTCCAAGAGGACAACACAGAGAGTGAAGAAATGATACTCAAAAGTTGTAGCTCATGTCGAGTCATTGAATGTCTCATTATGTTATTGAATTTTCGTTTAGGTTATCCTAATTTTTAATATTTGAAAATTTTGTATCATCTGATGTTTTCGAATAAACTATCTCCAACTTCAATTGTGAGACATGTCAGTTAGCAAAACATCACCAGGTCCATTGCTCATTTCACACTTACACGTCTTCTGCTCCTTTCTCCCTCATTCACAGTGACATATAGGGACCTTCTCGCACTATCAGCTGCACCAATAAACGGTGGTTCTTGAACTTAATTGATGACCACACTCGAATGATGTGGATCTATATTTTAAAAGACAAATCGGAAGTCGCTATGACCTTCCAAAATTTCTACACCCTTATCTTTACTCAATTCAAAACTCATATTCAAGTCCTTTGTGCCACTAATGGTCGTGAGTTTTTCAGCTCTATTTTTAGTGAATTTTTGGTAAGTAAAGACATCTTCAATCATAGTTCTTGCAAGGTCACTTCTCAATAAAATAGGTTAGCCAAGAGGAAAAATCGTCACCTCCACGATGTTGCTCGCTCCATTATAATTTAATCCAATGTCTCGAAACGTTTTTGGAAGGATGTCATTCTAGCTTTTCCACCTATCTCATAATAAAGTCCTCTCCAAAATTCACAAGTTTCGAACCCTTTTAGTCGTTTTGATGTCATGCTTCCATGCCAATTGGGTCTTTTCCACTTTCGATCTCAAGATTTTTGGATGCACTACTTTTGTTCGGAACAATGCCCCTACTCGGACTAAACTTAATCCCAAATTTATAAAATGTTTCTTACTTGGATACTCCGCAACTCAAGAGGTGTATTGGTGACTTGATCCGACCACATCCTCCCTACAGGACCTTGACTCCATCCGAGCGACATCCTTAACACAACACCTCCTCTAAATGAGGCAAGTTTTTCGAGTAAGGTACGCAATCAGACATGCTCATTCTATTCTATGACAAAACATACGTCTTTCCACAGTTTATCGCCAACCTACAGAGCATATACTACTGCCCTGATGGATCATCGGATCTCTGTTACTATTGAGGTTGCTCTTGCTGATCCAGCCTAGAAAACAATAGTAATGAAGGGGATGAATGACCTTCAGCGGAATCATATGTGGGACGTCATAGACCTTCCTCTAGATAAAAAAGTTGTAGGGTGCAGATAGATTTTCCGCACCAAGCTCAACTTGGGCGAGTTCTTTGAACGCAATAAGGCAAGATTGGTCGCCAAAGGATACAGACCTACAGAGTTGACTATAAGAAGACACTTGCTCTAGTGGTTAATTGAAATATTATTCGAGTCCTGTTGTCACTTGCGGTGAATCTAGATTGTTCTTTATTTCAACTTGATGTCAAGAATACATTCTTGAATGAAGAGCCGATAAAAGATGTGTACATGTCTCTCCATCTGGAGTTTTGATTCTATTGCCTTTAGAGGACAAGTGTGTAAGCTACGAAAATATCTTTATGGGCTAAAGCAGTCCCTAAGGGTGTAGTTCGGCAAGTTCACAAAGATGATCGTGGGCCATAGTTTTACTCAGGCTCAATCGGATCTCACCCTATTCTTCCGACAATCCTCCAATGTTCAAGTAACTATTATTATTATCTATGTTGATGATATTGTTCTTACAGGTAACGATATCCAAGCATTGAAGTCTTTAAAAGACATTTTTGCTTTGTTCTTCAAGATGAAGGATTCAGGATCCCTCCGGTACTTCATAGGCATGGAAGTTGCTTGATCCTCTTAGGGAATTTGTCTGTTTCAGTGCAAATATATTTTTGATCTCTTGACAGAGAACAACTTTCTTATGTGCAAACCTGTTGTTGTTCCCATGGATCCTAATGAAAAATTATCTAACATGCTCAATGTTGTACATGTCAACAAAACTCATTACCAGCATCTTGTGGGAGTACCCATCTACCTTACTCATACTCCCCTTGACTTATGCCACACGGTTGGATTGGAATAACGAGTCAATTCATGCATGACCCCTACGAGCACCACCTCCAAGTTGTCCACCGGATTCTCCACTACTTAAAGGTACATTGGGCTCGGGTATATTTTTTCCCGTCACACATCTCGGTCTATTGCTATTTATACAGATGTTGATTGGGTCAGATTAGTTCATGATCGACGTTCCACCTCGGGTTATTGCTCATTTGTATGGGGTAATCTTATCACATGGAAAAACAAGAAATAGTATGTGATTGCCCAAAACAGTACTGAAGCTGAATTGATATTCATGTCCTTAGGAATCTGTGAAGCTCTCTGGCTATACATTATGCTCCGTGGACTTTGTATGCAAACATCCATCCCGCTGCAGCTATTCTGTGATAATAAGACCGCAATCAACATTACTCACAATCCAGTCCAACATGATAGTACCAAATATGTGGAGGTCGACAGACACTTCATTAAGAAAAGGATCGAGTCCGAGGAGATTTGCATTACATGTGTCATCTAGTGGTCAACTAACAAACATCGTCATCAAGAATCTGTCTCACCCTTGGTTCAATGACTTCAAGTCCAAGTTGGACATGATTGTTATCTATGTCTCAACTTGAGGGGGAGTATTAGATTATAATGGCTATTCATACGCCGTTATTACATATTATTTGATCTCATTCCATGATTATGTATTTCCTATTTTGTTTTATTCTGTTTAGTTCTTTCCTAGTTATTTTATTCTATTTTTATTGCTTAGCATTATTAAGTCTATTATAATTAGGTTTAAATACTCTTCCTATCAATAAAATTGTGTTGTCTATTCCAAATTTCAACATATATACATTCCAATATTCTCTACGTTTATGAAGGTCCACAGGACCACAACTATGAGATTTTCACGCAAAGTTGCAAATATATGCATCAATGAATGCATTTGTAGCTTCAGATGGCATATTTTATATCTATTACATATGTTTTGCGTCACAATGTACTAAAGCTTGGTTGAAAACAAATGATTTTTTATATGCATGAATTTAATATGACGGTTGAAGTTTAGGAATCGTGACTACATGATGACAAAATTGCTAACATTAAATGATAATGTTTCTAAGGTTTGTAGAAGAAAACTTGAGAATTCCTCAAAAATAGAAATGAAAATTAGAAATTTGCTTCTTACCCTTGCATAGAAGTCGGGTGGGGAATAATTGTCAAAGTATGTCCTTTTAAAATCCATAAGCCATCCATCGCCCAAATATACTTTTACCTGTTGCAAAGAATGAGAAATTAGATTTGGCAATGGCCCCAATCTCAGAACAAAGCTCGGGAAGTATTTTTGTGGGAATGGTTTTACTTTTAAGATCTTTTTTACTGGTAATATTCTTTTTGGATCAAATACTTGACCATATTGTTCAACTTTCATCAAGAAATCAGGCTTTTTTACATATCCACAACCCCCATTTGCTCTGTAAAATCCATGCATCAACCATAACGACCTTCCATAGCCCTGAAAAGGAGAATGAAAAACTTAGAACAATAATTAAAGGGCAAACTGAAAAGTAACCTAACAAGAATAAGCTCTCCCACACGAAACAAGATTACTTGAAAATACTCCATGAGCACTTAGCATAAAATTAGTATCGTGTAGTCGAAGGGCTCATGGACTCGAACAGTTTCCATTTATCTTTGAGGTTTGATGTCTATAGGCTGTAGTGTTTGTTGATGATTCGATTAACATTATGTTCTTGTCATGTTTGCTAGATTTAATGTCGACCACAAGCTGCTACATTAGTAAAAACTTGTACACAAACACACAGAATTTTGAAACTACATGAGAGGAAGTTCAAATGTGAGGAATTAGCTGATAGATTATATTAAATGATTTCAAAAAGTTGTTTCATTTTTATTTTCTGAGTACAAAAATGAAGAAAGCTAGGTAGATATGCATTGATGTTCCGTCTTGATAATGTACTTCCCAGATTTTTTGTGATGTTAGAAATAGTTGTAAGATGTTTCCATCATTAGTAATAATTTCTATATGTAATGCTAAACCTTCTTAATTTCTATTTTGCAGAATTAGTGCTTGAAATTGGCACCATATATCTCACAACTTAAAAATGTGGAAAGAGTTTTATCAAGTACTTTTGTTTATTACATGTTCATAAAGTCGGAATAATCCAATATTATTAAGATATCCCATACTGAGAAAGCATAATAAACCAATTGAAACCGCAATATGAAAAAAAGTACGATAGCTTACCTGCATATTAAGGGCAACCATTTGAGCACCATGCATCCATCCAAGCATTGGATTGTAGTTAGAAGAAGTGACACGTGTACCTTTTGGGTATATCCTGACAATGTTCTTCTGAGTGAACCTTTTAAAACATTGAAATGTTTAAAACTTTCACAAGTTTAGCACAAAATTTTGTGCAATTGCAAGCCAAAAAAAGGTCTTGATATTCCAAAAAGCCTTTTAGCGTGAGCTGGGTACCATAATGGATGTCATATCTATAATACTAAATGAAGAAATTGAATTAAATGGAAGAGAATCACCTAACTATTTCAGTTCCATGAGATGCTGCCAGTTTCTCCAGCTGTTGCTCACTCAAACTAAGTCGTCTAACTTCATTAGGGTTCCCCCTAAGTGCATGTATCAAATGCCCCTTTGGTTTGCCTGCCCTTATGGTGATCAGATTTGTAAATTCTGGGGCAGCGTTCTGATGAAATTTACTGTCGTCATCTTCATCGTCATAATCATCACTATCTCCCTCTTCCTGATTCTGCCCATCTCGCTGTGAAAAAATTGTAAATTTAGAGGATAAAAGCAAGAAAAACAAAGAGACTACAAAATTCTTAACATATTGTAACGTTTTACCTTACTATCATAATGGAGTTCAGCTTTAAAATCGGTGACCTCCTTTCCCCATGAATCTTCCTCCTCTGTTTCCTTTCTCTTTTGAGATACACTATCCTTAACCTTTTGAGTTTTAGATTCTAGGTACTCTTCTGGAGGTTTCGTTGACAGAAGGATTCTTCTTGATAAAGTTGCTGGAGAAGGGAATTCCTCCATGGATTCACCCTTAGGATAATATAGCATGTCTCCAAATGTTTGAGTGACCATCTAATTTGAATGTAGAATAAACAGTTAAACTTTAACATGTGAGGAAGCATACAAATTTGCAATTTCTTTAGTTGTGCCACCTTAGCTACTTTGGCTTGGAGATCTGAAGTTAAATGATCCTCTAAAGTTATTACAACTGGGTATGGAGAAGCCGTAAATGCATGCTCTTTGATAGATCTCAGACATTTGATGAGTGGTACTGGAGAAGTTAGCGTCCTTCAGATAAAGTAAAGCAGCATGAAATAGAGAACAGTGCGATAAATGTATGAATTTCACACCAAAAAAAGTTAGTTATGTAATGAGCCTGTCAATCAAACACTAAGAATTAAGTATCAACTGTGAAATTTTTTAAGGATTTAAAGAAGTTAAAAGGTAAATGAAGAGTTACAAAAAGAAAATGAAGCAAGTAACAAGTCATACTAATTAAAATTATAGCATATAAAGAATTTCTGCCTAGGGACTAAGTTGAATCAATTTTCAACAGATTGTGATTAAAATGGAGCACTTTAAAATTCCGGGGTTAAGTTGATCACTTGTTAAAAGTCGGGGGACTATTTTGAGATTTTTCTCTTAACAAATATGAACAAATTTGTATATTTAAATAGAAAACTAATATATATATATATATATATATATATAAGTGTAAATATTCCAAATGAAAATGTAAAAAGGATAGATTTCTTGTTGAAGTTAACTACTATGAATTCAAAAGCCTACCAAAAGTTCCTTTTACCAACAGTAATCATTTTAGTGCAAGTATCTAAGAAAACCCAACAGAGTTCCAAAAAAATCATTTTAGTGCAAGTATCTAAGAAAACCCAACAGAGTTCCAAAAAAATCATTTTAGTGCAAGTATCTAAGAAAACCCAACAGAGTTCCAAAAAAAAAAAAAATTAAGTGCACTTACATACCACCCAATTCATATGTATTTACATGTCTCACACATAAACTATACTTTTTACATCCAAATCTTTCATATCACATAAAAAATATCACTATTTTGACTTTTAAAAAGTGAAATGGTATGTGTGTGTGTGTGTGTGTGTGTGTGTGTGTGTGTGTGTCTATATATTTCATATATAGAAATGTATATATGATCAACGGTATATATATATATATATAATTGATAAACGCTTCGAGACCGCATATATAATTGATCAACGGTCCGAGACCGCCGATCAACCCCTATAGGTTGGACTGACCGAGGGGCCCTTCCAGTCTGTTTGCTATTCGAATCCTCCCGAAAGGGCTGAGATTCAAACCCCCGACCCAAGGGTCTTACGCGAAGGCGGCTACCAATGAGCCAGGGCTCGCGCACAATCGAAATGGGGTGCGTGTGTGTGTGTGTGTGTGTGTGTGTGTGTGTGTGTGTGTGTGTGTGTGTGTGTGTGTGTGTGTGTGTGTGTGTGTGTGTGTGTGTGTGTGTGTGTGTGTGTGTGTGTGTGTGTGTGTGTGTGTGTGTGAAATTGTAGGTGTTAGATATGTAAATACATAGGAACATCACTGGACAATATCAAATGGCAAATAAACGAATGAAAGCGTTTGATCTGATTACCTTCCATGGACAATATCAATATCATCCTTTTTAGGATTAGGCCACATATCCAGCTCAATCACCCTAACACCTCGCTGCAATGCCTTGACAATAGGAACATCACTGGAGTCGCTGCTGAGTTGGTTCCCTTTTAAGTATGAATTATGACTGGTATATATGTAATAATGGGATAAGGGGGCCGTCATATCATGGTGAACCTGGTGTATAGGCAAACACAAAAGTTAGTTTCAGGTGAAGACTACTTTAGCTTAAATTAGTATGGAAAAATATGTAAATTATATGATAATCCAAGTTTAGAGAACATATATACATTGTAATGACTTAGGGAGTGTTTGGCTGTAAGGAAGATTGAAGTTAAGTAGAATTTGGTAAATGTGATAAATCCGAAGTTATTAAATTTAAATATCATTAAATTCGAAATAATGTTTGGTTCAATTAAAGTTAATTCTTGTTAAATCCATTTGAGGTGTTTGGCATAGACCTATTTGAAATATTCTTTTCATGTGTTAAATCAGTTAAATCCAACTAATAAGTGGATTTAATAAATTCAGATTTAAAAAACGGAACAAGCAAAAATTGGACTGAATTTAACTGCTGATTTATCTTACTTATTTATGGTGTTTGGTTGGATTTAAGTTAAATTTGACTTAAATTTTATTAAAATTATCGTACCAAACACCTCCTTAAGTCGACAACATAAAATTTCCATTTGTAACCAACTTATACTATCTCATATACTGAGAATCTATATTTTGGCCTTTTTTTTGTTGATCGATATCTTATATCACTGAAAACATTGATATTTACAAAACTAGCACGCTCTTTCATCTATTTTTCAAATTAAGGCATGGATTTAACTTGAATCCAGACGAACATAAATAAATAAAACTTAAAACCGAAGCTCCGTTAAGTGTGCGTTTGGGGCGGCGATAAGGCACTGCATCACAGTTTTTCCTGTTTAGCAAAATTGTGTTTCGTCTACGTTCTCAAAAAGTTGTAGCTAAAAGCTGTGTTTGCCTACCAGATCTAACTATCTGCATGACTGTTAGAAAATTGTGGTCTGACATTTTAAAAAATATTTATATTTGTCATAGCCACAGCAGCTTTTTGAACAATAATTTCTTTTTCATCAGTTTCACAGTTGTTTTTTCAAAAAACTGCAGCTGCCTATGGCAGGCACTAACTCTATTTTTTTGAGTTTCGTCATTTTTTTCCCAATTTCAGTTTCCATTATGACATATATCTGAATGTAATAAATTCAATTATAAGTCGGATTTAAACGATTTGCTTCGACGTCCACAAGCTTCATCTCTGTGGAAGAATTAATCGAATTTGATAAATCCAATTTAACTTTAATCCCAGTTGCAACCAAACAATGCCCAAGATGGTGTTTGGTTGCAATTTAGATTTACATTAAATATGATTTATCGAATCCGATAAATCTGGATTTATGAAATTCACATCACAACGGAAGAACACGTGAGCGACGGCAGAATAAATCCGCCTCACAATCAGATTAACTAAATCTGGATTTACATCTTAAAAGTGATGAAACTCGAGAAGAAAATGACAGAATGCAAGAAAATTAAATTTAACGAAACGTTAAATTAAATTTTTATTTTTTAATGTTTGGTTAGGTTTAAATTAAATCCACAGCTAAATTCTGTGGTATGCTGTCAAACACTGGCTAAGCCAGATGCTAGGTATCAGAAAAAAAAAATGAGTTAAGAATTAAAAATTAACAAAAAACGATAGATATCACTTTTTAGAAGAGAACATTAAACCTTTTTTAAAGTTTAAAATACTAAGAAAAGTCAAAAGTTAAAAGAATATTCTTTATAAAAGTGTTTTGTTTTTATACAACAGGCAGAAAGAGGAAAAGGAGCATGCTTAGTAGCTTTTTACTTCTGTAATTTTCGGTCCTGCGGTCTTTATAATATATAATTTAACTCCTCTTATTTTTTTTTCATTTAATATTAAAAACTATTCTGACTAAATTTTAGTCATTATTGTCCCACCCATATTTATCATTTCTATAGTTGTCAAACCATTATTACAGTAATAAAGAGCGACATATATATATATATATATGGCATAATTTTTTCAAAATTAGAACCAAAGTATGGAAAAATTATTGCATACGGACACTCATATGTATGCGGTGTCCGATCTACACTGTAGATTACGATAATCTAAGGTGAGGATGCAATCAATTTTTTTTAAAAAAAAAAAATTTAAAGTGAAGCCCACCGAAATATTTCAATCACCATAGATCACCATGATTTATAATGTAGATCGGACAAAGCATGCATCTCCGTGTCTGTATGCAATAATTTATCCAAAGTATGAGGGCCGTTTTGGTTCAAACATAACCCTTTGACGATGTGCAGCACTTTACCCTAACAAAACTATTTCCATCTTTATCGAAATTGTCGAGGAAAAATCATTTTCATCACTTCAATAGGCTTCATCAAATCAACCTTAAAAAAACCTAAAAAAATTAAATAAATAAAGTTTCGCATTCCAAATCCACCCTAATCATCATCTCCAGCATTCCCGAAGGCCCAAATCCAACCCCCAACTCCCGACTGCACGCAATCCAAGCAACCCTAATCAAAACACTAAATCCAAATCAGATCAAAGCAAGCACAAACCTGAGATCGTATAGCAGGATTGAGGTCGCCGGAGAACAAGAAATGGAAAAAATCATCAACCGAGAGGAGAGACCTAGAGAATTTCACGGGAGAATGCCGATGCCTCATTTCCCTAATCCTCTCAACAATCAGCTCCGCTTCGGCAGCCGTAACCGCCTCACCCTGCCTGTCAGCTAGAAACCGCCGGAGCTGCTCCGGCGACATCACTGCGCCACCCTCTGCGTAAAAGGCAAACGCCTCCCTCACGTCGGCCGGCGGCTCCACCGCTCTCCATAGAAACCGCCGAGTGAAGCAGAAGCAGCATTTGTAACTCCCCATCGCGCCCAGCTTGTCAGTTACTCGCCGATCAGCCCTTTTCCGGCCGCCGGGATTGGAATGCGGAAGGTAGTTTAAATAAGGATTGTCATTAATTACAGGGGTTATAATAATTTGAACTTTATTCGATGCTTCAGGCTTTATATATTCGATATTCCGATTCCCGCTCACTGGCATGATCGTTTGTGTGTATATAACAGCAAACGGCAGAAGTGTTTGTTTTCTTTTTGCAAACTGTACATCAACATTTGTGCTAATACTGCAAACTTTGAAATAAACAATGATCTATCATTTTTTAAACTTAGCTCAATTAAACAAAAATTAAGCTTGAACAAGGTTTTTAAGTAATTAATTGTCTTAAAATTTGCAGCAAAACTCAGCATTATAAAAACTCATATGAAATCAATTTCTTCCCATAATTTTTTTGAAACAAGTGTTGTATGTCTCAATAATTTGCCTTTTTTTGCGACTCAGTTTATATTTTTTCTAGAAAGGATGATCTTTAGATATGAATGTTTCTTCAAATAAATGATGTCAGACACAAATTTATCCTTGAATCACACATCCGGATGTGCATTATTTGGCTAAAATTTTAAAAAAAAAACGAATCTAATCATACTGATTTAATTAATTTGTTTCGTTTTGAAAAATCGATTTCAATTCGATTGCCTATTTACGCTTCAGCTTGTATTTTTCAAAATTGAATAATCCAAAAAACCAAACCCCTTTCTATAATATCACAGATATTTTTCTTTCCCTATATCTTCTCGCTTTAACTATTAGTGCAGTGTGCTAGCCTTTCAACCTTTTCCTGATTGAGGAGTTGAAGCGAGGAACACCATACACCAATTTTCCTATTTCATCTAACGTGGCTGAGGGTGGAATACAGAGTCTCAACGGGATGGGGGTAATGTGTTTTAAGTATGAGGTGGCCCATCCCCATTAGAAATCTAAACTTTTCTTGCCCTAGACATAATGTTTCTTACATCAGTTCTATCGTTGTGTTGATCTTCATTAGTCGTATATTTTTCAACTTTTTCGACAAAAGCAAAGCTATTTTGTAACCATTTTTTCATTTTTCATACTGTGATGGAAGCACTAGATATAAGTAAGCCAATATACACATGCAATAGCTTTTCATTTTTTTGAATATTCTCATCATGTTATTTACTTAAGGGCTAAGGGCCTAAGGCTTTCATTTTCATATCAACATATGGAGTTAGATGTGAATCATCTAATTTGTTTACTTGTGAAGCATGAGATTTTCTTCAGTTGATGCGAGGAAAAGGTTTTAGCCGTATTGTAGTTGTATATCAAAAGAAGACATGAAAGATATTTCTATTTGTCAGATGCATTCGTTGATTCACGTACATTTATAAAATATGATTTTTTATTTCACATATATTAATAAAATATGGTTACTTTTTCTTCGTGAATTAGTGGATTTTGCAAAATAGGTGATGTTGACACTATCATTTCTCTCTTTTGGGATATATGGCATTGTGGTGTGTTTTTATTGTTGTAAAATAAAACATATTTAATGTCAGACTTTTTAAAATGGCACAGATTGTTATTGTTGTGGTTCTTTTTGAAAAGTGGTTGTGTAGTAAATATTTTTCGAATGATTTTACATTATGTTATCTAATTAGTGGCATCATTAATTGCTGAAGCATTTTGACATCATTAATTGCTGAAGCATTTTGACATCATTAATTGCTCTGAAGCATTTTGACATCATTAAGCTGAAGCATTTTGACATCATTAATTGTTGAAGCATTTTGATTGATGTGAGTTAAGGGAGAAGGTTGTACTTTTCTGTTTATTAAGTGTTTATTCAGAATATTTATTTTTTTAATTCTTTATTTTTACTTTTGGTTTGCCTGAAATGGGAATTTTTTTTATTTTGTTATGCAACTATTTGATATATGCTAATAAAACTAAAACAAATGTATAGAAGAGAAAATGAAAAAAAATGGATGACTTATGAGAAGGTTCTATTTTTAAATGATGCTCTCACCATTTGCATGAGATACAAATGCTATTAGTTGATTGGGGGTAGATGTATGGATTCCTTGTTCAGCAGTTTGACGGTTGGAACTTCATTATGCTATCACATCCATGTGATTGTAAACAAGTATGGTCATGCTAGGTATATATTCTAATTAAATTGTTGATGAGACATATTCTTCATTGATTAGGGGTTAATCTGTGGGTTGCAAGTTGAACCATTAGAGCAACAAAATATACATTATTGTTTGTAAGAATCACATAAATAGCTCGAGTACGTTCTTGCCATTTTTTAGGATTTGATTGCATTGTAAAACTTTTACCATTTGTCATCGAACTAAAAATTCATCAGTTTTTCTTAAATTTGTATCATGTGATTGAGTTTGAGAGTGCTTTGTGGTCATACGTGTTCATTATTTCTATAAATTTTTAAAATTAGATGTGTGAAACCAACGATTAAGACTTCATTTTCCCTTACACTTAGAGTGATCAAATTTTTGCATGTTAATTATTCTACTTAAAATCTATATTATTATTATAAAATATCACAAGTTGCTATTTCATTTGGGAATTTGATGACATGTTTAAGTAGTTTATTTTGTTCTATAAAATCTTCTTAAGTTTTTTTTAGTCTTGCTTAAATCAAATAGTTTAAAGTTTCATCCTTTAAATTTTATATCAATCTTTGTTTTACATTTTAGATACCATATTGTGGCGAGAGTTAAAATGCATATTGTTAAGTGGGCACTTCAAGTAACACCATACTAATAGAAAAAGAAGAAGATAAAGGCAAAACATCCATCCAAGATCGAATGTTTAGGATCATTTTATCAATTACAAAAATAATGAAGGGGAAAAATAAGAAAATACAATTAGTTTAAAAAGACATATCGTAGCGATCCAAAAATTAATGACAAAACAAATCTATGCACACTTCTTTTCGTTTGTAAGAAAATCCTTATACCATTGAATCAACTTACGCAAAATTGGTATTGTAAGCAAATGATAAAGAACATGAGAAAGAATGGGGTCTTAAAGCTTGGAGATTTGACAAAGAGAATGTTAGGAAAGCTTTGGCAATTGTAATTATTGTTAATAAATTACCTTTTAAACATGTTGAGGGATGTAAGTTTAAATACTTTATGTCACAATGTTGTACAATGTCTTAAAATTTTTCTCGTTGGATGCTCACCCGTGATTGTTTTAATTTTACTTAGATGAGAAGACCACTTTAAAATAAAATTAAATGAGAAAGTAATTGATTTTTTCTTAATACATAATCATAGAGGTGAAATTCTTGAACAAGAATTTGAAAAATATTAGTTCATTGGGGCATTGTATTCCTTGTAGTTATAATTACTAATGCAAGTTTCAATAATGACATAAATAATCATTTACAATGAAAGTCTTCAAAAAGAAAAGGTAGTATTATTGATAGCAAGTTTTTACAGCGGTCCATAACTCATATTATAAACTTAATGTTGACCAAGAAACGAGTATCGTACATTAAAGGTTGTTAGATATTAGAAGCCTATGGATGATGATAATTTTTTTCAAAGGATTTTGAAAGGCATTTGGTGGTTGCCAATTGATTAGCAATGCTCATCAATGATTAGTGATTGGGCGATTGTGATATCAAAAATTTACATTGTTCGACAGTTGGTATTGGTTTGTGGCTACAATTGATATTGGTTTGTGGCTATTGTGTTTGCTAGCATTTTTTGACATTGGCCAACAACCAACATTGGATGATGGCTATCCTGCATGCTAGCATTGGTCAAATGGTGGTGGTGATGGTGGGTATTGATGTTATCCAAATTCTAATCTTATTTATTGATTGCTCCGGACGCATACAAACGAATAATATCTAATTTATGCTAGCCATCAACGCCTAATACTCATCTTCTTAATCTTTTAGTTCTTCCAATCATCTCTTAATTTTTATGTTCTTTGTTAATTATCATCTGTTATTGTCGGCACTATTTTTGGTGTGGGGTTTGCCCGTAAGAAGTTGTCGGTCATCAGAATTCAAATCCCGTTGCCCGCTTTGGAAGGACGTTTTTTTTTTTTTTTAATTTTAATTTTGAAAAAGATGAAGTCAAACTGACCCCATAATTTTCATAGTTTAGATGAAAGAGCGTTTTACCTCAAATCCTGTATCTATCCCGAATGATGAACACAAGAATTGAGGGTGAGGCTCGATCAAATAAACTAGAGAAAGTTATGACATCCGTTTGGTCTGCGAAACCAATGTATTGGCCGACAAATTCCCCTATTTAATATAAGGAATTAAATAAGGTTTATATTATGTTGGGTTCGGGAAAAGCTTCCTATAAG